ACCTGCAGGACACCGGCCCTCGAGGCTTTACACCAGGGGTGTCGAACTCCAGGCCTCGAGGGCCGGTGTCCTGCAGGTTTGAAGTTCTCCAGAGGCCTGGTAATGAACTGATCATTTGAATCAGGTGTGTTGACACAGGGTGTGATCTAAAACCTGCAGGACACCGGCCCTCGAGGCTTTACACCATAACATAATCTTATTTAGACTGCTCGAGACCTAAAAGTACAAACTCTGGAGTTGCATTATGTGTAAAGTCTTCTCCGGCACATCCTAGAGATGCCTCTTGATGGAGGTAACGTCCAGCCAGTCCATGTGTTATGTGTCATGCTCCCTGACCTGTCCTTTCACAGGATGAGCCTGTGTTACTGACCCATATATGCCTACAGTATGGGTCAGTGTTTACACGTTGTAGCCCCTAACACTGACATACAGGTCAGCTGTCCAAGATCTTGTTCTTCACCCTGTTATGTCCATCAGTGTGGAGCAGGCTAAATCGAGACTCATCACACCACATGAGTTGTTGCCACGACCCCAGGGTCCAGTCTCTATGCGTCCCAGCAAACTGAAATTTGTTTCCAATAAGTCTGACTGATAGTTTTTGTGCAGCAGTACAACAGTTCGGTGTTTGTCCCGTGAGTTCTCGGCACATAGCTTTGAGTCCTGTATCCAGGTGTTTCCAGGTATTATTCTTAACTCGTATTTAGTAGAGTCAGTTTCTTTCTTTGCTTGATGCAGGCCAGTAATTTGACCCATCTCAAACAGCTCGACGTTTTTCCACTAACAGGTTTTCCATGAAAACATGTTGGGTTGTTTAAGGAGGGAGAAGTTGCTCATTTCCTGATTTTGGATAAATACAAACAAAACATACAATAATTAGTAGTTCTTATTGATTTCCTTGGTCCAGATGGTGACTTGTTTGGGGCTGGGCAGTGTTGGGCATGATCATGTAAATGCAGTGCTCGTTGGAGCAGCTTCATTCATTAAATGTTAATAAATAGGCAAATGAAGCAGAAAAAGATTATCACAGCAGTTGCTGTAAATTCATATACAGGCTCGTGTGTGGAGAGTGAGATCAGGTCTTTACATGGAAATTCAAACATGGTTCGAAAATCTTTTCTTGTTACTGAGCCAAACGCATCAATCCCAGAGAAACCCATGGTTGGGGTTTTTTGGCTAAATTGGTAAATGGATTTCAGGGTATGTTGATGCACAAATTTGCATATTTAAGAGAGAAAGTGGAAATTTCTTCCAACCTTGCTTAGAGTTCTTGATGGCAAACCCAAATTTTCAGGAGCAAGTAGTCATAGAAAGTACAGAACCTTTAGGTTACATTTTAAATCACAAAAACAAAGCAGGTCTTGAAATGTATGTCAGTATTTATCAGATGAACACCAACACATCACACATGTGTCATTATTTCTATTCATTGTCTGTTTCATGCTGTAGTCTGTCCCAGCTGTCGGTGTTTATCTGACACTTTGTTAAAATGTAGAAGCAATGTGTGAAAACCTAATAACTTCCTGTTACATGTCCAAGCCTAATAGGCATTAAGAGGGTAAGTAGCAGAAATCAGATGCGCTAATTGCTAATCAAATGCAATAATTGATCATCATCAGTGTGAGCACTGCTATAAAAGCAGGAGTTTTGGCAGTTTGCTGGTCTCGAGTGAGGCGTGTTAACACAAGGAGGAAAAAGGCCAGCAAGGATCTTAAAAAGTAACTCTCTTCTGGGAAGCGATAGAAGATCATTTGTAAACAATCTGCGGTACAAAACACTATTTACAATTAGAAGACATACAGCTGCCAGTCTTTACAGGAGACAACCCGATGTCACCCTAGTCTCAGACCATGAAACACTCAGATCTCAGACTCTACAGGTATCAGGTAGCATATTAAAGTTTATTATAGTACCATTAGAGAAAGATTTAACACGTTGGGCTTGTTTGGAAGGGTTGAAATCCTCTGTAAAAAGAACAACACCACAGCTCAGGCTCACGAAGTTGCACCTGAACGAACGACC